AAAAAAAAAAAAAAAAGAGAAAAATATAAGTCATTACACTGTAAGTGGGAGAAATAACAATTTTAAGACAGTTCATCTGGAATGATTAAGTAATACAGGTAATCCCCAGTTTAAGAACGAGTTCCATTTCCCAAGGTCTGTCCTTAAGTTGAATTTGTTTGTAAGCCAGAACAGTATTATTGTATAATACTGTATAAGTAGTATTGTGTAATGAACTCGAACCATTGTGTATTCAACTCAAATCATTGTGTATTTAACTCAAATGTTGCTACAATAGGCTCCATTCTTAACTATGGGTTGTCTGTAACCTGTGTGTTCTCAACCTGAGGACTAGCTGTACACTGAGCCTAGGACTGCACATGTATGAATTACATGTAGTCCTTACTTACCTACCGCAATTGGGACTGGCAACCTTGTCACTAAGCAGCTTGATCATTAAGCACAATGTCAAGTGACTGTGCCAACTTATGACATCAGTTCCTGCTGCTGTTATTAGGCAAATCACCGCAGGTTGTTAAGCACAACTTCACATGACCATGACTTGTGACTTCCTGCCAACTTCCCCATTGACTTTGGTTATTGGAAGCATGACTGTGGGACGCTACAACCATCATAAATGCACGCCAGTTGCCAAGCACCTGAATCATGATCATATGACCACAGGAATGCTGTGATGGCCACAACTTCAAGGACTGGTTGTAAGTCTAATTTTTCAGGGCCGTCAGAATTTCGAACGGTCGCTGAACAAGTGGTCAGTAAGCGAGAACTACCTGTATTTTAATTGTATTTATTTATTGTTATTCCAAGAACATACTTTGTGAAGATGATTTTGATCATCCTCTAGAACATCAGAAAAACTTCCTATGCAAATGAAAAACTAGCTAACTTCTCCAGAAAACCTCTTTCACTACACTTGAGAAACTCACCTTTAATGAAAATTCTCCAGAATACCTCTTTCACTACACTTGAGAAACTCATCTTTAATATAATAGAGGCATAATGAATGCCCAAGCAGAATGTTTGTCAAGCAACAACCTTTCTACAATATTCAAGGATATTTAACTACAGTATAGTAAATGAATAGTTAATATCTACAATTATCTTAAAATTCTTAACACAGACACTTATTTTTGCAACTATGCAGTATGACAGAAAATTACATAATGCAAAACAGTGTAAAAAACCTAGTATTAGGTACTAAATACACAATGCTTTATAGAATCGAAAAACAAGACTACTACTAAATATTTTCAAAAGAATTTGGCATTATCTTTAGAAAATAACCGTTCTGAACCATTTTATCAAACCCACTGCCTTGTCTCTGCTTTGCCCATCTAATCATGGCTAAAGATCCGCTGAGCAGGGACCATGGCACTTTTGAGTACTGGATGTTGTTTTACTGTTTGCACTGAATGAATACCTTTATTTTCCATATTTCTAACTTTCATATGAATTCTACCACTACTAAAAGCACATTTACCAAAAAAGACAACTCTGATTTAGTATCTATAACAGGATAGTTGTCAGGTTTAGCCCAAAGAACTCCAAGAGACAATACAAATCCAGTTCTACTGTGTTTATTAGCACCACCCCCTAGCAAGAAAACCTCCCCAGCCGGAAACCTAACCCCCAACCCGGCCAGCCACAACACCGTGAATTCCTCAGGGAGGTGCCAGCCTCATCCTCTTGACCTTCCCACGCTCCTCCGGTGAACTAAGAACACGCTTATCTCCCTGAGCCTGGCCTTCATAATTCCATTCCATCACAATAGTATACATCATTATCATTTGCATAATACTGCTACATACTTTCTCTATATTTGTGAATTTAAAACACGAAGACAAGGATTTAAGTTAAACCAAATATTTAAAGGAAGCTATTAAGTATACTAAAAACAACATCAATATTTAGAAATGCAAAACATTGTTCTCACCTGAGATATATTTGAAATGAAGATTTCTTTTGGTTCCTCTCCTGTGGTATCTAGGACTTCAAATTCATCACCGAAGTCACAAAACAGACGTGCCCATATTCCATACACATCTGCACTTACAAACTGTAAGAAAGGCCCAGGCAAGTGACAGTTAGGTTTCACAATTCTTGCATCAAAGATTTTATTAACACTCCTGATGAACGCAGAAAAGTGAAAGTGTTAATGTTTAATGTAGACTTATGACAGAATTGGCCTATATTGAGTTTATTACAGTCTCCAATCTATTTGTTCCTTTTTTCAGTATCTGCAAACAGATACTCCTAAGTCTCAAGTGAAGACTTCGAAGTTTGAAAGTGGAAGACTGTAAAAATTTCTTAATGGTTATTCTTATTGTAGGTTATGTAGTCTCTTTTTCACTGCTTACATTTCTAACCTATGTGTTCAGCATATCTTAAAGCTGATTCCACAAAGTGGAATCACTGTAGAACAGTGATTTTGTCCTTGCAGTCAGAAACAGATGGAACGTAACAAACATATCCTATACTGCCCATTTATATTGTGAGACAGATTGATAATTTCATGGGCTGTGAAGAAGAACATATCATTTTTTTTGCTGATGATTGTGTTCCATTACATTAGTTATCAAGTGACCATTTCTATTTTGCTGTCTTTTAGAATTTGAACAAAAAAATGGGTACCTATCAAATCTCCTAGATCTCTGGCCAGGTTGTAGTTTTAGGATTACCCTTGCAAAGCTTTTAAGTCATATTTGTACTATAACCCTGGACAGAAAACAAGAGTTTTTGCTTCTCATAGCTCACTTGAATAGGAACAAAGTGCTATTTTGAAAGGGCTTGAACAAAACAAAAACTGGAAATATCGTAAAGGCTTTTAATTCCACTAACTTAAAAAAAAAGGCAAGTCTATATGTGAACACATTACAAGAGTCCAAAGATGTTACTAGTATGCTGATTAACTACAGATAGCTGCTTTTTTCCACAAGGGACTGCAGATGACAACATTAGCTTCAAGTCACCTATTGCCAGAGAAGCCATTACTAGAAGTTAAGACACAAAAGAAGGAAAACAAATCCTTCCAGAATAAATTAAACAAATGACTATCAAAAGCAATCATGTGTAGGCTAAGCTTTAGCTTACTGTGGGGGTAATAGCATCCCAATATGAAATGTAAAAAATTTAAAATTACACTTTAAACATTAAAAATTACAAAAAATGTAATTAAAAAAAATCTCATTTGAGAATGCAGATATTTGAAGATTGATATACCTTTCAAGATTTGGGCCTTTTTAAAAATGTGGGTGACACCAAATGATGCTGCAAGGGGCATTGCATCTGAAGACACTGTATTCTCACCAACTCCTATTGACTCTTTTCTAAGCTAATTACTGAAACCATGGAGCAATTAATAGTTTAACACATTCATGTAGGTTAGGTAAAAGAAATAATACAATTCATTCACTTCTTAGGTGATTTCAATCTATGGTTTCATAACATTTGGAAAAGTTGGATTAAGAGCTGAATTAATGAAAAACTGATTTAAGAGTTATTCCATGTGGATTTGGCACAGATATATTCAAGAACTAGTCTGCACCAAAATTTAGCACTGCCAATATGGAAATAATTTGCGGTATTAGTAAATCAGGATGATATGAGACAGGGAGGAAGGCACAGGAGATTATGAAAAATTCTTAGAAGAGATGGCATTGGAAAATGTTTAGTAAATGCACTGTTATTATTTAGAATTACCTTAATAGGTGGGTGTTGTGCATGGCAAAAAGCATTAATCTTCTTCTGCAGTGACATCTTCATCTCAGTTACTATGACACACTTTTAAAAGAAATAGTCCAAAGATAAATCTTAGGTTAACACAAGGGTGATTATAACCTGTAACTTACAGACTTATAGATTTCTCAGATATTCTCAGTTTCTCAGAAATTCCAGTTATTTATCAGTTATTCCAGTTTCTTTACATTTAAAGTGATATATCTATACCAAATAAATGTTTTTAACTTCAATTACTAGATACAAAATAGACACAAAAATTTATGATGTAGAAATCTAACATCTCAGCTAGCTTTCTTGAATAATATGAAATGTCTGAAATAAGTTAATATACTTTCTACTTCTGCAATAAACTATTCTCTATTTTAGTAATTCCTCATCTAATTATCTCTTGGAATTTTTCTTCTACCAGTTTTTACCTGATCCTACATTATAATGGGATTCTTGCCAATTAAAATGCCCAATGTCACACTTGCAAAAAAAAAAATCTGCAATAGAGAGCTGAAGCCTGGAGCTCTTCTGACTGAAATTCACTCTGCTTACCTCATGTCAAAGAACTAAACAGCTTTACAATCTGTTCTGAGCTCTTTCTATAACTTTTGTTAAATTAAAAACAGTCTAGGTTTTGTACATATGCTATTTATAACATAGCAATAACCATTAAGATGGTCTAAAGAAGGCTCTAATACCATTTCAAAAAGCTGACCCTAAAATATGCTAGATCATATCAGTATATCCATTAAAAGCCAAGGCACGGGGAGGCCAAACATATCTTAATAAAAGCCTACAGAATGTTCAAGAAAACTGACCGAGCAGTAAAGCATAGAGGAAGATCCCAAACTAAGGACCATCAGGAAACTTGGTGACATAACTATGTGCATGTTATCTTAATACTTATCTTAATGATGCACAAAATACGGTAAGGATATAAAAGAAAATTTCTAAGCTAAGCAGAATCGAGAAGGATCTATAGCAAGCAGAGATCATTTCAAAAAGACTACTGGAACACAGGGACATTAAAATGCAAATTCTACCCTCACATGCTGGTATTATGTCTGATGCAAATCTCTGTGTTGCAGTTTCTGCATCATAACATAATGACAGAAGTTTCATCATTTGTTATCCTTCCTCGGGCTGCCTATGGTAGGATCCAACTCATAAATCTACACTCACATATACAGACACATACCTGTAATCATTTAAATTCAATCAGGCACTTAAAAAAAGATCCTTCTGAGATGATATCTGCCACATTTAGGATAAAAGTCAATGTAGGATTTTAGATCTAAACCAGTTTACAAAATACACAATCACTCTGCCCACATTGGACACTCATACAAAGGCGTCAGAGCTCTCAGTGTGATGCTACTTCCATCAGAAAGAGGAAAATAGTAAGAATCTGTGAATGCTGCTGCTAAAGTTGAAAGTGGTTTTTCTTACTGTAACATTTTAAAGCATCAAATTACATATCTTAATTTGATTAGAAGTGTTTTGTGGGGATTCTACTTCACCACTAGGAGCCACAGAATCAGCTAGAAGTAGTTCAATCTAATCAAGCTGCACAAATTAAAACTGAGATTTTAAAATTCAGTTACCCTGTCACAGCTATAATTTAGGTGCAATGACTCCAATTAATTTAAGCTTCATTATATTCACTGACCAGAAATGAGATGACACCTTTCATTCCATGAGTTCTCTATGTTTGCACTGCACAGTAAATCAAACCCTTTCTAAATCCTTTGCACAAAAGAAAAGGAGGGAGTCACCTTCTGTTTGTACACAGAATTTGAAGAATACTCAGAAATAATAGAAGCTTGCTTCTTTCTGTTACTTTCAAAAGAAAATTAAAGAGAGACTTATCCTCCTTTTCCTTCTCAACCCAATTGCCATCTCATGTGTTTGGAAAACTGAGAAAAAGTTAGGTTCTCACTCTCTGAGTTAGCTTTTCAAGATTCTTAAAAGCAGCAAGAGGAATCGTCAGTTTTAAACACCTTCAAATTCCAGAAATGAAAATACTTCCCTGCCCATTTTTCAAGTCTTTATATACAAAGCAGGAGTTTGGGACAGGGACAGGAGTGGATATATTAGGTATCACAGCTAATTAAATGGGAAGATTTCAAAAAGATACCACATACCTGATACTGTTTCAGAAAAGAAATATCAGTGATTTCATTTAATGGATCAGTTGAGGACATCACTTGGACATACGGATTCAGCTCTGCAATGTGATGATGTGCTGCTTCAGCTCTGAAGTGCATTTAATAATTGTATTATTAATAAGTGTGACATGTAGGTTGTACCCTGCCTTCTGGTGCATACTGGCTGATCACAAACCATTACAATAAAGTTTTCAAGTTCAACTGTATAGATACATTTGTAACACATAATTACACCACCTGCGCTCACATATAACCCAGTTCCTGTTAGTATTTCAACAAGGACGAAAAAAAAAACAAAAACCATCAGCACTCACTCAAATTACAAAAAACTTTCGTATTTGAAGCAAGTGGTTATTTCTAATACTACATTAACTCAATAAATGGAGTAAATTTCAGAAATATATAATTTGATTAAATTATACCCTAACCAATATTACCAGGACTTTCTGGTTGGTTACTTGTTTTTCTGACCTTAAATTGGATTAGCAAGGTGAAATTACAGTTGTCTTTCGAAGGATAAGTTACACTATGTATTTTAACTAGCATTTTACAGAAAGAGTTTTTAAATAGTTTTTGCCAGATTATCCTCTAAAATTGTTTCCAGTAAGAGGAGGAGGAAAGGTATTTTGGATTTGGCATGGGTGAATTTGCTGTACCCATCAGCAACATCTTAAGACCCCTTTTCCTGGGCTCATACAATGCCTGTGAGGTCTGTCCTGTGACAGACCTGCTTTTTCAATTAACACCTGGAAGAGAAGTTGCTTAAACAAGCAAGCTCTTCCTATCTGTTTTCCAGAACAGTGCACCACTTGTTTGCCAAGCACAAGTCGCCAGGTTTTGACCTTAATAAGCTGTTACCTGCTTTCACCTCCAGTGTAGCTCACACCTTGCTGCTAGAGGCTTAACAAGGCAAACAGCCTATGCTACTGCGTATCTTTCTTTGTGGATTCCCATTGTCTCTGTGGGAAAATACTATGGTCCTAGTCTTTAATTATAAAATCTAAACAAATAAAGTGTTCCCTTTCCTATCTGTTCATCTTCCCCAGACCAAGGTGAACATTCCAAGGGTTGGGGGAAGGAGTGGGGGGGCTGTAAGATCTGCTCCATAAAGGTAACATCTTTTGTGAGTAGATGCCATGGCAATTCCTCCTTGCTGCTATTTTGGCTCACTGCAGCTGTTCGAGGAAGAATCTCTCTGACATTGTAAGTATCTGAATTTTCTTAATAAACTGTTATTAGTTAAGATCATTCTGGCATCTTGGCATCTTCCTTAGCATTCACCGTCTTCAGTATCTGACCCACAAATGCTAAAGCCACCAATAAGGTCCCAGGAGAAAACACATCTGAGTCCAGAGGAAGAGATAGCTTCTTTAAGGAGCCACTGAGAGTTGCAACAAGCAGGCCTGCACCACATCCAAAATACTGTTCCAGCTTTGGTTCAGAATACAGCACACCTCTTGTTTCTAAGCTATGATTCAGGTATAATTTATTTTAATGAAATATTTCGTGATACAGTTATGAATACTTTTTTTCCCAGCAAGGCAAAATGGCTGTGTAAGCACATATACATATGCACAGACCACTGGGAACAATTTCCAAAGCACTCGTGTGAATCTAGAAAAAGTTGTTGCACTGATTATTTAAAGAGAGCTACTTTCATTCCCACACCTCACAGTGGGTACATTGCTGCAAGGTGCCTCTTTCTAAGGATTTGCACAGCTGTAATTTAAAACATTTGATTCCACATAAGTTAAGAAAACATTTTTCATTTTTCCATATCACATTGTTTTTCCCAACTACCATACTGTGTTTCTAAAATGGCAATGTTACCTTAGCCATAAATTACTATTAAAATATTACTATTTAGAAAACATAAACTACCATAACTAATTGCGTCCTACACACCAGCAGAGAATTAGAATACAGAAGTATAAATTTTACCCACAATTTGGAAATATGATCTCACTGATATTTTTCAGTAGATACAAAAAAAATAGCTTCTCATTTTATATAAACATGGGTAATGCTCATACAATGATTGCAATAATTTTCAAGACTGGACCAAAACCACTGTAAAATCTATTGACACAGATAACATACATTTACTCACAATGTTTTAAAAATTGTACAGACCTGTTCCTTAGCTTTAGAACATCATCTTCATGAACAAAGAAGTTTGTTCCTAAATCCCATGTCTTGCATTGTTTGGTATCATGGATAGTAAGACCCTTGAAATAGTATTAGAAGTAAGGAATAAAGTAAATTTGAGGTAGCAATGATGCAACATCATAAATATATATACTATTATGGCTATCACACCCATGAATTTATTGTTATATAATATAAATAAATAGCTTTCTTTGTTTTGATATGTATGCATTCATACCAATACTTTCTTTAGAAGCATCCCAATAGCTACTGATGTTGAAGATCTAAGGCAATCCATAGGTTTCTAAAACCAACTCAACTGGAGTTGGTCAACAGGTATGTATGATCAAAGTAGAATGACAGGACCTGCTGAATAGCTATCATATTAAAATAACAATTCTGTTAAAGTTACATGAATACACTATGCCATTCAAGTTCAGAGATCTAAGGAATATTCCATCCTCAGAATGATAATCTATCCATCAAAATTTTACTTTGCAAATTAGAAGGCCTAAAAAGCAGTTCTCTCTGTGCTCTTACCTAGGAACCTAGATACTTGAATATTCTTTACTAAGTTAGAACCTCTTTTGCTTTTAAAGAACCACTATTATCAAAAGCTTTTTACAACCAAGCAAGAAGCTCTTCAGAGAATTAATCCTGTACAGGTCATTTTGAACAAGGAATGCTACATTTCTTGAGCTCACATCTAGAAATGAAAGGAACTTATAAAAAGAACATAGTATAAAACCGTGGAACACAAAAACAACTTTAATGCACGCTGGCATGCAATGAACAGATTTTCAGATAAAGAAATCCCCACCACCAACATCTGATGAAATCTGATAGAAGTCTAACTACTTCTCCTACGCCCTTACTCAGTTTTGAATAATCTATCTTTTATTTTCATATCTCCCCTTGCACATACTATGAACACCTGATCTAAGCACAGTATAAAATAACATGCTGGAAAATAGTCATTAATAGTCAGCAGGAGAAAAGAAAAAAAACCAAGAAAGCAACTTCCCATTCTTCTATTTTTTCTTTCTTTTTTTCTTTCTTGCACTTTTTCTTTCTTCCTATTTTTCTTTTTCTTTTTAGTTTGTATTATCTTTTACTATTGTACTTAAAACTTTTAATAAAAATCTTATTGAAAAAATAGTCATGAGGGAACAGTCAGTAGTCCTATCATAAATTAAGCTTCTCTGATATATCAATATCTAAAATGAGATACATGAATACTTCTTACATTACTTTTTGATTCTCCCATCATATATATCAGCATCTCAGAATCAAGATACTAATTTAGTAATATTTTGCTACTAAAATGTTTGTGAGTCAAATTTATGACATCATTAGTTTTTTTAGGAAGTATAAATGAATACCTTATAAGAAATATAATATGGTTATTCTTAGACACTAGACTATATCTTTCTTCTTACCTTTATTCCTGCAAGAACTATGTTCTTAGCTGAAAAGAAAAGTGAACAGTTATAAATTTCTAGTAAATATTCACCATTTATAACTACTCTATATACTGTTTTTTATTCCTCCACAAAAGATAACCCTGAATTTAAGACAATTCTGTTATGAAAAGAAAACAGTAGAAATACAGTATACATATAGATAAATATCCTGCACAATGTTCCTCATATTGTCAGCCTAAACTGAAATAATTCCTGAAGATTTCCCCTTCCCAATCAATGCGTGCATGTGTTACACTTCTATGTATATAGATCTAGAAGCCAGTTTTCAAACAAGAGTAGTGCAAGGGGAAAAAACATTGATAACTACAGTTTAAATTAAGTGTATGTAAAATAAGATAGCCAATTTATAAGCTTAACTGATGCCCATGCATTTATACCAACAATTTTCTTACCCAGATAGCAAGACAGGAAAAGTAGAAGTATAATAGGGAAATGGGTGAAAAAAGTAGGATAATTTCTTTAAACATTAGGGGTTAAGTGGTCCAATAAAAAGAACTAGAATCAGTAAATTTTTAAGATTTATTTTTTGCAGAATGGACAAAGTCAAGCCATCTTATTTAAAGCCAATATAGATGGTAGAAAAGATTCAGAAAGATATAAAGATTTACTGTTATTAAAAAGACATTTGTTATTAAAATCTTAATACTGGCTTTTATACATGCACCAAATCAGAACCAAATGGGATTTATACAAAAAAGAAAGACAACCTTGAATACATTTGGGAGAATTTGATTCTAGGGGACAATTTACATACTGATGGAGTATGGATGACTCGGCAGTCATCATATAAATTAAAATAAATTTTTAATATTTAACAGATCACAGTTTGATGCAACTGTATGAGTTTACTGATATTTGGGAAATTATGCACCCATCAGCAAAAGGCTTCATTTATTATTCAGGTAGGCACCAATCTCATTTAAGAATAGATTATATATGAGCTTCAAAAATATTTTTGAAAAAATTAACCCAAGTAGAGATTGTATCAATATACATTTCAGTGATTTTGGGAGTTTAGTCTGAATGAAGCCACCCCATTCACTCATTTTTCATTTTTTGACATTTCAATTCTAGATGGCTATATAATTCACAAGTGAAAAAACACATAGCTCAGAATTTCAGATTTTTTTTTTTAGAGAAAACAAGAGCAAACAAGCAGAGTTAACTACAAAATAAGATGCCATAAAGGCAGTAATAAGTGAATGTATATGTCAAAGAAGTAGGATCAGAAAGAAATTTATACAGATGATGAATGGATTGTATTTAGAAATTAAGAACTTATGGATAAAGTATAATAGAACAGGATCAGTTGATATACATAAGCAATTAAAAAAGGAAAAAAACTTGACATTCTAGAAATTGACAAAATAACAAACCACATTTTATTTTTGAAGCAAAAATATTATCAATTTAATAATAAGAACTCAAGATTGGCAAATAAGCTTTAAAAGGTAAAAGAAATTTTATATGTAAATGCAATAGATATAAAAATACTAAAAGTCATATCATTACTAATACTACAAATATTAGTAAAAAGTTTGTCAAAATTTTAAAAGAATTAAATACCTCTAAGGTATTCTTGTACTTGAATTCTTGTCACTTACCAATGCACTGCAGCAGAGATCTTCTTCCATTAACCTGGTGCAATTCTAAAATAACTCTAATTCCTAAACCAGGTAAAGATCTGCTAGAATTATCTTCCTACGGACCTACCTTGATTGCAAATTATGTTTTAAATTGTTAGCCAACCATCTCACATTTATTACAGGAAAAATTATACATCCTGATCAATCAAGTTTCATTCAAAAATGAAATATATTTAGCACCATTAGAAAATTGATAAATATTATACATTCTTGCAAAATAACATGTTTTCTCTATCACTGTGTTCATTGGATATCTTCAAGGTCTTGATTATGTGGAAGGACTATTTTTAAAACAAACTTTAAAAAGATATGTTTGGTAACTGTTTTTAACAAGATAAATGAGATTTATAATATCATCAACAGTCACATAAAAATTAAAAATAACAATTCAGAACAATATCTAATCTCAAGAGGTACCATTATCCCCCCTATTATTTAACCTTGTTATAGAAACATTAGCAGTAGCACTTTGTAGCAATAAATAAATTAAAAGAATAAAACTGGCAGATAAAATTATCTATGAAATCTATTTGCAAATGATATGGTATTAATTTTTACAAATTCTAGTGATTCAGTTAAGATGGAATAGGAAGAATTTGCAGAAATATCAGGATTAACAGTAAATTTCAAAAGTCAAAATTAATGTAATTTCATACCTCTCCTAAAATACATATAGAGCTCTAATACTTTAAATATACCAGTGGGGTACAAATCCTAATCAAATTAGAATTAGAATTAAAATTATAAATAATATTAACAAATTATTTAATAATAACTTTACTCCTGTGTGGAAGAAAATTTGAAAAAGGAACAAGAACTTGAAATAAGGCGAAACATTTATATGATCTGAACAGAAACCAAACAGGTAGTCCTTGCATTATGATGACAATTGAGACCCAGAACTCCATCACTAAGAAATGCGGTCATAAAGTACAATGTCGTGTGACAGCGTTGCTTATCGATGGCAATTCTGGCAATCTCGGCTGCTGTTGTTAAAGGAGGACCACACAGGTCATTAAGCAAGTACCTCACATGATCGCAACTTCTGACTTCCTGCCAGCTTCCCCATTGACTTTGCTTGTGGGAAGCTGGCAGGGAACGTTGGAAATCATAATCATGTGACCGCAGCTCGCTTTGACATCGTAATGCAGCATGATCACATGAATGCGGGGACGCTTCAACAGCCAGAACTCCGAAGACCTGTCGTAAGTCCCCTTTGTTCAGTGCCATCATAATTTTGAACAGTTGCTGAACAAATAGTCATAACCTGAGGACTACCTGTATATTTGTTGGTCGTCTTATCAGGTAAAAACTCAAGTATATCCTCCCAGGTTGCCTAGTTTTGATCCTCTAAATGTGCTATTCGTTCTACTTGTACTTAATTGAAGATTCTGATTTATTTACTTACAGGTATTTTATGTTATTTTATTGTTATTGCACTTTTATCCCTGTACTTTCATATTCTATATTTCGATTCTTATTTCTTATTATACTGTATATCTTATATCTATACATACTTGTCAACTGATATATATGTATATTTATATTCACTTACTTTTTAGGTTTTATATCATTGTTTTCTGGCCTCATGGCAGTAATAAAGTTACTTGATTTTGATTTTTATGAACTTGAAATAAGAAATATTTAAATATGTTGGTTCAAACTATGGTGGTTAAAATGATGGTCCTTTCATATTTTTTTTTCAATTTCAAACTTTCCCATAGAAGTTCCAGATAAAATATCAATCATACGGCAAAGAAAAATTGAAAAATCATGTTTCAGTACTAAAAAATTAAAAGTTAGCAGAAAGATGATATATAGTTCCCACTTCTAAAATTATACTATAGGGAAACCATTTCTAAAATTATACTATCAAGCAGCACATTTGGGGCATATTATTCCCTTTATATTGAAGATGCAACAAGATAGTGGATAAAGGTAGAAAACCTAAAAATGGTAGGTAGATCCAGAAGCCAAAAGATTTTATAAAGATGGTTTTTTTCTTCCAAAAGATTTTATAAAAATAGCTAATATCAACAAAATTGAAGCCATGGAGAGACCTCAGTTGCTATAGAGTAAGACACTTCTACAAGAATAAGTAACTATGTAATAAAGAAGAGGCTGAGTTACAAATATGTTGCCATCTGTCTTGGCTATCATGGCTCCCACTTAAATCCTTTTTGAATAAGAAATACAGTATATAAAGGAGTCAGCATTTCATTGCCTAATTATTTTAGGGAAATTAGTAATTACTCCTTCTTCCCAACCAATGGAACAATTTGAAAAATGTATAGGATATAACTGGAATCAGAATTAGGTGACATATATCCCACCCCTGGTAGGTTTAAAAGAAGATTCTCTTTTAAAAGAAGATTAAGAAGGTTTAAAAGAAGTCTGAGATATAGATTTAGGAAAACGAATAGATGACAAGAAGGGGCAAATACTATGGAAATCAGGTGGTTTTCTATCTATATTTCTGTACAAGATATGCAGTGAAAAATAGTACAAATATCTCATAATTATGTATCAAAATTTTCAAGGGGCTGCAATCAGAAAGGACTGTCTTGTCATATGTGGTACACTTACAAAAGATTACATGTTTCTGGAGCAAAATATTCAAAGCCAAAATAATAAGTAACCAACAGTAGATTCTAATAATGATCTCTGTCATATAAATCAATCCATCAGATGAACCAAGTGTCAGCAAGATACAGTACCTACTAGAAGAGGCTACAACACCAGCCTATAATCCTATTTCAGTCCACTCAATGTAGTCTGGTCACTTCTTATCCTACTGTCATCTATATTTATCAGTCAGGTTCTCATAATTCTACTACATAAGTAGAAGACTAAAAGTCTTAGGAAGCTGTAATTATTTGTCTATATGTGGCTAACTCAAACAGTGTCCTGTATTATAAAGACCCTTCCATGAAACTCATGAAGCTTCTTCCCCAGACAATGAGCATGTATACATTTGTAATTCATTTTCTCTGAGTAATTTTCATGATGCAAATAATAGTCCTATATTTAATATATTCTACTTAGCAGAAAGTGTAAGTTTGATCTAGTGCACAATAAATTTAATGAATTCTTTCCCATTAAAAAATAAACATTTAGAAAAAAAGTTTGCTTATTTATGCAGTTTACCTCTACAGGTAATGTACAGCTCAAATACTTACCAATTTCCACTCCAAGCCCGCCCATTCCACTCAGGAATACGTGAGACTGAGCCATCTTGTGCATTGCTGTATCTCCAAGAACATATCTCTGCCGACTACATCATATTAAAAGAAAATAATTAATAATAATAATCAACAGCATTAAGTAATTCAGCTTGCAAAACCTCTCACTTTTGACTAAGTTCACCGAAGAGGAAAAATTAATTTGCTCTCAAGAAATCACTCTTAACAAATTTTGGATTTTGGACATCACATAATTTTACAATGAAATTAACATATCAAGTAATAATTTCAAAGGAATATTACATAACCTGCGGTCTTGCATACCAACAAGATACTCAAGTCTCGCTAACAATTTAAGCAGTCTGTTTATTTCAACCAAAGTAGCTATGACCCACAAATACTGGGATTTATTTATTGACTGATTATATATCTCTGATTTTGGCCTTTTGAAAGAAACATGGTAATGCTCAGGTGTGAAAATCCATAAAAGTAATTTAGCTTGGAGTGAGAGAGCACGTATATGCTCATAATCTCCTAAATATAGTCACCATATCATGGAAAATGCACCTTCATCAGACATTAGGAATTACACAGAGAATGGATTATTAAAGTAGGGGATGTAGAAATGTAAGAGAATTTCCTGGCATAGCTTTAGAGAAAACATTTCAAGAAAATATTCTTTACATTCTTTAAATTGAGCTTAAAATATGTGTTAATAAAATGAAGGTTATGACAGAGACAGCCTTATGTTCATATTTGAATTCACTATTTTATCAAGGAAGCTTACGTCACATTAAAACTTAAATATCATTATCTATAGTTTTATTAAAGCAAATTAATATTTTGCAAAAAATGCTTACCTATATAAAGCATCATCGATTTCCATTGAATCTGCTGCCATTATTATACACTTGCTTGGACTGGAAACAAAAACACAGATAAATATTTTGCCAATACCTGTAGAAAATCTCTTTACAATTTATGCTGATGTCCTCAACTAAGCAAATATATGAAAATGTATGAATTAAATATGTTTCTGCTGAAACAGTTGATATAACGGTTAAGGCTGTGCATATCCTTAGAGAGAGGTGTTTTGCAACACATGGGAGTACAGGTGGAAACTTCTCTTCAAACACGCAAGAATATGCATGTGTAGCAGATTATGAAGCAGCCATATAAGCTTTGAGAAGAACACAACTGCTTTATAGATTCAAAGAGAGGTGCTCTGTAAGTTCTGTGTTTTATAAAGGATCTCTTTTGAAAGACCTAATTTTATAGCCCTAAATAATGATTACTGTAGATTTACTACATAAATCAAAATGAATCATTAGAAAATATATGCACCTATAATTTCTTTTTTACACAACCATAAGAGTGTGTAACCATATTTATAATTACTGGATATTGAAATAAAAATAAGTCAAATTGTGGCTGCAATCATTCTTTACTTGTCAAAGTTCTAAAGAACTTATTTATTCCCCAGAACTAAACAAAAATGCTATATACACAAGTGTGTTTTGGATAATGAGATGAATAGAACACTTTTGCAAAATCAACTTTAGTACATATAGCAACCATATACTGCATTAATCTTTTCCCATAAACACCCACACTCAGAACTTGAGGATTCCTGGACTATTAACCAATAACAGTTGGTAAGTGCCTATAATTTAATTCTAAAAGCTATATTGCCTTTACATTAAATTATTCTTGAAAATTTCAATAATTTCAATTTTGCTCTATATTCGTATTTTTCATTTTATGTACTATACACAATGAATATCATATGTTGATTTGGAGAGAATATTCTACTCACCATTATTTCAGATATTGTGTATGCAACTGTAATGTTACACTGGTTCTCCCATGGTGCAAATTACATAGCTAAATTTATATACATCTCAAGTTGTTAAACTTTCAACTTCTCTGGCCTGTTATCAGGTATAAGTTCTTCCACAATCAATTAATTCAACAATTCAATTCATGAAACTTATCAATATATTTAATATTTTATAAAATGTAAGATTAGCATATTTAATACTTAGAAACTTATTCCTGGATCAGCCTTACAACACAATCTCATGAATGTTTTCTCATAAACAAGACTCATTTTGGTCAGATGATCTGATTTCAAGAAAATTATGTCAAAGACCATAGTTTTGGTTTGTCAGAACAGTAGTCAAATAATTATTCTGCACTATATTTCAACGTTATGCTATATTATACTAAATCAAACCACCAGTTCAGTTCACATTCAGTACAATAAACAAAGTTCTAAATGTCTCAGAAAGAAAATACTAAAATGACATATTTTGTATCTAGGCTTTAAACAATCTCAAGACCAGTTTAAAAGGGAAAAATAATTGTGATATTCTTGTGGGAGCCTCTGCTCAGTATACAAGATAATGTCTCCCCTGTCTGTCATACCTCATGTATGGCCTGGCAGTAAATCTCCTCCCTCTAAACCTTGCATTCAGTAGCTAACCTCAGAAGTTTCAATGGCATGGCATAGCTACATAACTTTTACTGTAAATTCAAAAGAATTCACATATACACAGAAGATCAGCTTATTGTAGAGCACAAGAATGAAGTCCTACATACATATATGTCAGAACGAGAGTTTAAATTCTAGGCTTTTTTCTTCTATGTTTCCAAATAAACAGATTCCGAACCATTTATTTTTTTGTATGAAGGCTGACATATTTCTGTATTTACACAACAGTTCTGTCTAGCCTTAGTCAACTTCAGTCCTTATACCACCTCCTTATTTACCATCTTCCTGTCCCCTTCTGGACCTGGAGGTGCCAAACATATTTTCCCCCTGCTTACAGTTATGGAGATTGAGGGGGGAGCACTATCCCGTCCTTTCATTTCCATCACCCTCATGAGCTGAAGCAGACAAAGTCTCATTCTCTTTAAAGTATTCTACCCACCCTCTCCTAGCTAGAAATCTCAGAAGAATGAAGTTTCAATTTCTTCTTCAGCAGTAGTTGGAAAGGCTTTCTTCTTTTCTGACCTGTCTGCCCTCCACTTCATGGCAGCAGTGTGGAGCTTCCATCTTTTCTACTTCTTTATCAGCAGCACCTCCCAGTCCAGAACTTTCCCTTCAACTTCAGGCAATCTCTAATTAATCTTACAATACTCCCCTTCTCATCCCAACCAGTTCCCTTCTTCCTAAAAAACAGTACTGCTGGCAAGCACTGAAGCCAGAAGTGTGGCCAAACACATGGTTTGGGCTTATAAGGACATTGCAAATGGAATCACTGAAGAAAGCAGAGGGCATGTACATCATCTCTTCCTTTCCATAATCTCCCTGAGCAGCCCTTCCAATTAATCAAATTCTCCTGTACCAAGAGTCCAAAATACCTTCCACCTTGAGTTTTTCCTCCTTGCCACTCCAAGATGCATGGGTATGGGTACCCAAGGAAATCATTCCAGAACCAGGACGAGAGCTGGATGTATTTTCCCTGTGTCTAGAAACTGCAAGCAAAAGACTACAGGACTTGATCTGTTTATTGGAACAGTCCAATAAACCTGACATCCAGCTTCTTAGACCACTGTATGAAGTGGAGAAATCTGGTAGAAAACAACTTCCTCATAACTGCTGTGCTAACTGCCATCAAAAGAGATCCAGGCATAAACCAGTCGATCCTTGAGGAAGCAGCAAGTAACTTGCAGTTCCTGGAGAAAAAAGGGAGGCCTTGGAATGGAGGAGGGCCGCAGACACAGAAGAAAACCATAACTTGCCTGAAACAGCAATATCTCAGTAAAATCATAAACTGAGTAAGCAAACTGAGTAAGCAAACTCAACCTTAGGTCAGTTTGATCTAAGATCAGGCCAGTGTCTCACTGATAATTTACACAGCAGTAAAGGTATTGTGATAAGGTGGCATCTGTCCTTTCCATCTCTTCATCTGACTGCAGCCAATGTGCAGAGTACAGCTGGAGCTTAACATACAATAATCAAAATACGTCTTCCAAAAACATGCAGTGAATTATGTCTCTCTTTCAGAAATGAGATAACTGGGCAAGCCATGATTTTAGAAAACATGTTAAATAAACAGATGATAAGTATCTGGAGCAAAGGGGGGAGGCCATGACAGTGAATGAAACAAACCTTCTTAGAAAAACGATTAGAGATAGGTCAATAATTACATCCATAAACTGTATCCCCAGGACCTTGTGGATATGTTTATGTTTGCTCAAGGTTTTATCAGGCCTTAATTTCTCACATCACTAACTTCACCCTTACAGTTTCCAAATCAGGGAAGAAGAGTAGTTTCTTAACATAGTACTATGATTGCAGCCAGCAATAGCACATTGGAGATTTATTTTCTGTTCAAAGCCTCAACGTGATAAAGAACACACTGATATCTTATATTTGTCCCCAAGTTTTCTGGCACAAACAAAAGACTTGAGGATCTCTGATATCCATAAATTATATCTGGCTGACTTCCTAGCAATCCAACCCAAAATTTATACTGTAAACGCTTAGTTACTTCTCCATTAATGTGCTACTTATAAGTAATATAGTATTTGTACAGGAATATAAGCCATATTGTACAAAGAAGACAGCAATGGGAGAAAGCACAAAAATCCATAAATAGCAATTCCTTCACTATCAGCTGATAACGTCTAGTAAGACTGAAATATTATTCAAGTTTTTATAAAGATATTGTTAAAGGGACTGAAAAAATGGCTTTATATCCTTAATTACCACCAATCTCCTAAAACCACATCATAAATTAGTGCTATTCATAAGCACTTGTTAAAGAGACCAATTTTGTATCTGCTAACATCAACCTGTTTTAAGTGCATCACGTATTTTTGTTAATTTTGTAAACTTTTCACATATACTAAGGGAAGCAAAAACTGACATAACTTACCTAAGATGCCTTTTTATTGCAAGAGTCAAACAAGTGTTGTTCATACCAGGGTATAAAGGCAATAATAATGTTTTTTTCCCACTATTGCACTCTACGCCACTCAGTGCTACACTGCTTCAGCCATCACATCTAGCAGCCAATGCCAAAGTTATCATCCAAGAATGCTCTTCTTTAAAACTGTTTCAGTTCCTGTGTATTATCACTACAGAGTTAATAGTTAAAGACAAAAGTAATTTGCTATAAATGTTATCATCTTAATGCTTTTTAGATGAGCCCATTCTCTGATCCGATACTGCTAAAATCCTGTATTGGGCAACTTGGTTAAACTAAAAGATAGCACCACTTTTAAAGATGAGGTGACTGAAGCCTCCTTTTAACCTAGGTTTTCTTTTGTTTTCATCTGGTTTGTTATCCTGCCATCTCTACCCTTCTTTTTGTTTTGTGTCATTTTTTACTGTCTTGTCTTTCATGTTTTAAATTATGGGTTGCTGGGAACTGGGTGGTATATAAATTTAAAATAATAATAATAATAATAATAATAATAATAATAATAGCAACAACAATAATAAAAATATTAGATACTAGAAAGTTCATGGTACTGAGCATGACAGCAATAATCATCAGGAACACACAAAAATACATGAACATGCCTCATAAATCTTCATATAATTGATCTAAACAGACTTCATTGAGTGGTGTCTTTCTACTGGATGAACGGCATTATTCTGTGGTATGGATTTTCTTTTCATAGCCATGTGCACTATTTCAATTTGAACAAGACCCTCTGGAGAAAATCTGGGGTGCACGTGGGGGCAAGGGTGGAAGGCGAATGACAGTTATGGTCAGCCCTGCGGTGCACGAGTTAATCCATTCATGCTATGCCGAGTACGTCCAATATTCCCACACTCCGATGGAGTATTCCTCTGCCTCAGCATCGTTACGAACGATACAGAGCTCTGGGACGCTTCTTTCCTCCCCCCCCCCCGGGCCGAATATCAGACTGTAAGCTATTTGTGGGAAGAGGCCACCCAGGCC